TTTTTTTTTTTTTGCTCCATAATAAGGATGAATAAGAATATATATCTTTACAGCTAATAAAGTGTAATGTTCATAATTTATAATAATAATTGTTATAATAATAATTATTATTATAGTATTAATAATAGTATTTGATTTAATTTCCCTTAAAATGGAAAAATTGATCCTCGGATAATATAGTACTTTTTTGAAAATTTGAAGAGGACTTTAAAACGACTATAGTACTAATCAAATTAATTGTCCCTTAGATTATACAATAACCCACGAAAATTGCCCGTCTTGTCGAGGCGTTTGTACCCACAAAATTTTAGTTCATTTGTTCCTTCAATTTTGTATTAATATAGAAATATTTAGGATTGAAATTAGATTTATGTATAAAGTGAAATTGATAATAACATAATATTGTTTGGTGGATGAATGAATAATAATGAATAATTTTACAACATAATGTATGTTTGTTGATATAATGATTGATATAAATAATATGTAACCATAGGAGTTATTCATTTTAAAATATACTATGGACTCAAATTGTCTTGTAAGTTTGAAACATATATATAGTCTTTTTGAATTTATTAATTAAGTGTGTGTGTGTGTGTTTTCTTTTTTAAGTTTACACGAGGAATGCTCTCCTACCCACGGTGGACACATGTTAATATGCTCACCGCTTACGTGTCATTCACACATTGGTGTTGTATTTTTTTGAACATATTAACATCACTAATGTGTGCATGTCACGTAAGCAGTAAACATATTAACATGTGAGCACCGTAGGTAGAGGAGCATTGTCAAAAGTTTATAACATAGTCTTTGGGAAGAAAAACAGGGAAAAAAAAAGGAAGTATAGTTAAAAGAGGTTAATTAGCTGACAAATTCGTATATTTCGCATCATTGTCTGACCGGAAAAAAAAATAAAAAAAAAAATGATAGATTTAGTTGACTAGAAATGCTCCCCTACTCACGGTGGCACATGTTAATATGCCCACCACGTAGGTGGCATCCACTCATTGGTGATGTTAATATGTTTAAAAAAATACATCACCAATGAGTACATGCCACCTACGCGGTGGGCATATTAACATGTGCTCACCGTGAGTTTCTATTTAGTTGACATAAATGGACAAAGCTTAGGCCTTAATTAGGGTGTGAAAATAAAATTACCAATCCAAAATTTCAAACAAGTTGAAATTTATGGTAGTTTCCTCAGTACGATGATCTTATTATTTTTATTTTTTAACGAGTCAATTTAAGTCTCACATTGGTTAGACGTGATTTTCCAAAATACTGTATTACTAAATTATGTCTTGGCAAAATAATAATTTAAAATATAATGAGGATTATTTTGTGTAGAATAAAACATAGCCCGTACGATTAAAATTAGAATTTAAAGTTTTGTGTTGAATAAATGACTGATTTTTATTTATTTGTATCAGTTGCAGGCCTCTAGCGAGTCACGCACAAGAGCGATTTATATATTTATTAATAAAAAAATAATAAGTGGACAATAAACAAAAAAATAGGGGAAGTGGACCAACATAAAAAGTACGTATTTATAAAATACGTTTTTTGTATAATTTAATAGAAAAACGTATTCACTGAATACGTTTTTCACATTTTTTTTTTACAAAAAAAAAACGTATTCACGGAATAAGTTTTCCAAATAATTTTTCCAAAAATCGTATTCAAGGAATACGAGATTTTGATTACTTTCCACCTCCTTTTTCTTTTTTTTTTTTTTTTTTTTTTGTCCACCACTTTTTTTTTTTTTTGCCGTAAAAAATTCCACGCACAATGTTTAATTTGGTTTGTATATAAAATTAACAGGTGTTTAGGAAAAAAGATTTTTTTTAAGATCAATTTTGCTATGAAGTCATCAGATGGCTCGCATATGGAGTAATCGACCCTTATTCGCCAATATTATATTGACACGTGTCCACAATAAATACAATTTTGACATGTGTTAATATATTAAGTGATGGATGACTCCATAAAAAAACCATCTGATGGCTCCATAGAATTTTTGCTATTGCATATAATAAATTAATCCTCAATTCTAGAACAAAATACTTTGAAAAAAAAAAACGTAGTTCTATATAAACTATTGTATATATTACATATAGAAAAATGTTATAGCTACACAATATTATACACAGATAATTTATGTAATTTAAATTCCATAAAAAGGTAAAATTGGTATAAATTCCAACTTAATTTTATTGTAATTTATGTATGGTGAAAAAGAGGTAAAATTGTTGATTTTCTTTATATATTTATATCAAGAAATAAATATACATCTTACATTGATCAGATGCACTAGTACTTATGCCAACTTAAGGCATAAATTAAGAGCGTGAAATTAGCATTTCATGCAACTTTAATATGCTAGTGGATTGAAAGTATTATATATCACAATGATTGAAAAATAATAGTGAAATATATTACATAGTATATACTCATTACTAGTGGTAATAGTGAAATATATTACATAGTATATGCTCATTACTAGTGGCTTACATTTTCCAAACAAACATAAGTGGAAAGCATGGGTCGGTGGTTTTTAAGAAATAAAATAAAATCACTTGACTATTTATAAGTGTTATTCGAGCTTACAACTTATGATTTATACCTGAAAAACTAGTTTATATGACAAAGGTGTTTGATAAAATTAACTGATGAGTAACTGAAATAAGATTTTGAACGAAATTATTTGAAAAGCTATTCAAAAAAGCTTATGACATATATAAGCTCGAGCTCTCCAAAAAAGCTCGTTGTATCAAACGAAACTTATTTAAACACGTGAAACTTATAAATTGACCAAATAATTTATAAGCCAGTTGGCTATTTGGTTACCAAAGTTATAATCTGACTTATCAGTTAGTTTCACCATACATAGCATATTCACGTGTTTAAATAAGTTTCATTTGTTTAAACTTATACTATGTTTGGTAAATCTAGCTGATGAGTTAGCTGATAATATGTAATTTTCGAGCTTATGACTTATAGTTGAAAAACTAACATATATGATAAAAGTGTTTGGTAAAAGTAGCTGATAGCTAGCTGAAAGAAAATTTTCAACGGGCTTATTTGAAAAGCTACCCAAAAAAGCTTATGAGATAAGCTCGAACTTTTTAAAGAAAACTCTTCCTACCAAACGAATCTTACTAAAATACAGAAAGCTTATAAACTAACCAAATAAGTTATAAATTAGTTTATTTGGTTACTAAACATAGTCTTAGTCACCTTAAGCATTAATTCTAACCGTGGTATAGACATGAATCATGGCCTGAGCCAGCCTGTCGGTTCAACTCGAAATCGGCCTGGACCCAGCACGTGGTCAACGGACCCAAACTCAACTCCGTAGTTTGACCTGACCAATTCCGGGCCTCTTATATGAATTTTTTGACTCGGAGGGCCGGTTCAGCCGTACCCTAGAAAGTTCAATTTTTCTTTTTTCCCCTATGAATTGGCCTGTTTCGAACCACCAGTTCACCGACCCAATTTGGAGTTAACCGCCGGGCTTGAGAACCGGTACATACCTACATCTGGGCCGATTCTGGGTAAGTGTTCTCAAGCCTAGCGACCCACTGGGCCGGGTCGAGTCCGGACCTAGCCCTCCCAATGGCCATGTCTACCGCGGTACATAAAACATTCTTTTATGTGGGTCCATTCATTATGGTGTGAT